ATGAAAGCGACGTTGTCCAACTACGTAGCAACCATTTTCAAGATATTTAATCTCACTTTGCGATATCCCACTGTTGTTAAAAAGAAATGTTGTTTTTTTTTCTCGACACCCCTTCGAGTCAAATAATACCGTCTTTATAATTTTGTTTGCGCGCCATTTACTAAAAGCGCCTACCCATCAACTTGAAAAAATATCTTCGGGGATTATTAGCCATTTTAGAGAGAGAGAGAGAGAAATGTGTAATTCGATTTGTGCGTTTCACATAGGAAAGAGAGATTTTATGAAAAATGAGGAAATAATTTTGACATGTGTAAACTATAATATAAAAAACGTATACGAATGACAAAAACAATAAAATTAATTTGTAAAACAAAACTCAGTTATATGCGTGTTTTTATATATTTATATATTTATTTGTATAACACGTTTGCGTAAAATGCTGTAACTTGCCGTTATTAAAAAAAACTGATGTAACATAATGAGCGAGCTTGCAAAAATAAGAAGCGCTCAGACGCAATAAAATAAAAATGTCAGTCCAAAAATTTTGCATTTCCATAATCAGCAAATTAAACATTCGCCGTCATTAAATCATGGACGTAAAATATGTAAAACTGCGCTGGAAATAAAAGTCACGTTCCACCAGTTTTATCGAACGTGAGATTTATCACGCCCTCCGCGATTATTTATGTATTTGCCGTTGTTATCGATCCTGCAATTAATATTGTTAAAACGCTTAAGGATTTTCTCAGCGCACTCACATCATGTAAAAAAGCCATAAATTTGTGATGAATAATTTATTCCTTTCCCGGCGTGCGCGCCCGTCGGGAGACAGTAATTATTACAATTGCGCTTCACTCGCGCGCGAACGATTCATCATCGTCGGCGTGTCCGATATGACCGGTGTCGCAAAATCGATGACATTTCTCACGCTAATCCGAAAGCCAACTATCGACTAGTGTCGATTGTCGCTGATTGACGTACGCACGTACTAGATATATAAAAATGTAGAACATCTGGAATGTGAATGATAGAGATACAGCTAGATACGACAGAGAAAATATGCAATCTTTGCGGACAATTGCGTAAGTAATTTTAACGCTCAAACAAATTTTTTTGAAATATAACAATTAAATGTGCACATTGAATTAAAACATACATTATTATCTGTATATAATTTTCCTTTATTTGTTTTTCAGGAAAAGAGCATAAACATTTATTAACAAATTCTTAAATAAATTTCCGCAATATAATCGCAACAGGAACGTGTGATGATAAATTTTTTTTTATTACCGTTCCGCGATCGCCATTTCATTTGGCCAATCGATGGCCGCAGAACTGTGCTAATTAGAGCAACCGCGGTGCGGGCCACCCGTTTGTAACGCGATATGGATAACTATCTAGCGGTGACCGGCGGGATGACGTGGGGTTTGGGTGACGCGACGTGTGGGTGGTAGTATGCGGCTCGGGCACGGGGTACATCGTGCAATACGCGGGCCCCGACACGTGCACACATCCCGTTTATAGCGCACTAGTTAAATTTCGATACGCCGTTACGCGCGGCTCGGGATAGATGAAACATGGTGTTGTCGTTGCGTCGCCGCTCGCGGGCATAACGCGCGACAAATATTCCGCAAATAAAAGCTCGCGTTCACATTCACCCCTCGCCGTCCCGGTCTTCGTGCCCTGTCGAAGCCCTCTCCCTCTCTTTGCCTCGCGTTATTTACAGAACGTCGCGCGGCGGGGGAGTTGGTCTGTACGCCGCCGGCAATTTTTAACAAGTCGGGCCGTGTATCCCACCGACGATGGCCTCCATCGAGCCCGCGGGAGGATGGCGAGACAGGGGGGAGGTCGATGTATTCGACGCGCGTTTTATTTCGTGCCACGCGCGCGCGCTCGCGCATGTGCGCTCTTTCTCTCTCTCTCCCTCTTTTTTTGTTCATTTCCCTTTTTTTGCGCTTGTTTTACGCCACCGCTCGATTTTTTTTTTTTTTTTTGCTTTTTTTGGTCGACGCTGGATTGCTCGGCAACTACCAATCAGGATCATCTGACAGGAAATACCCCGCGCACCCGCCAGCGTTCGCCACTTGTGTCCGCGGCGTTTCCCGCCGACCCGCCGCCTCTCATTTCTGTCTCCCTCCCGCCCTCCTATGTCCCGGGGTATCCGTAGCCGCCATCGCCATACGTTCACTGACCAATTTGTTCGATAAAAGCCCTCGACTGATTGGCCTGACAACGCGGCCACGGCTCTTTTTTCCGAGCGTGAAATTTACCGTGGTAACCAAGTCCCTTGTTGCACCCTCTTGCTCGCCTTCTGCCTTTCAGAGTCACCCGCCGCCGCTTATTACTCCTTTCTTCCTTTTCACCTTCATCTTTTCCTTCTTTAGATTTTTGAGACAGTTTCAGTGATTCGTGGCAAGGTTTGCGAATTAGATACCGCAGTTCTTTCGTGTGAATAAAGGATTTGTGACAAGAAAATCGAAATTTGTGACGACCGAACTGAAAGATGCGTTTTGCGCACTTACTCTTCTTAGATGTTTTTAGGAAAAGCCGCGAAAGTGTAGTCATAAATGTAGAAGTCTAATTAAAAATTTTAAAAACTATCTTACATAAAAAAATATTATTTGAAAAATAATTGGATTAATAAAATGATAAAAAAAATTATTTCAAAATAAAGAACAATGAGTTATTTATATTTATGCAAAATTAAATGGGTATATGTGTAAACGTCTAATTATTCAATCATTAATGTCTTTATATTTCGCATTAAAATATCTTATAATAAATTAAAGAATTTTCTCTCGAGCGCGCGCGAACGTCACACATTGCTCGTTATCGGGATCGTAAAATTTGAGTAGTCGACCAATATGGTCTGGTGAAGCGGTACATTAGACACGTAAACATGTACTATCTGCTCACATCGCAGCAGCAATCTGTCTTTCGACGTCGCCTCTCACTTTCGAGTTAATAGCTGGTAATAGCCGTCGAGAGCTAACATAACACGACCTCCCACGCATGAGTTACCGTCGATCGACGATATCACCCAACGATCCACTCACCCATCACGCAAGGGATTTCGATTTTGCGCAGTTTGCAACATGTCTTCTTATATTGCAGGATTCTTGCGAACTTGAATTTGTATATGCAACACCTTACTTGTAAATCTATTGTATAATCACCAATATATTTGATATTTTACTAATTATCAAATTATTTTACTAATTATCAAAAATTAAATTATCAACTATCAATTACTTCAAATTAAATCTCATTAAGATCAATTTTACTTCAAGTTCCGTGAAAAATAAGATTCCGTTATCTGTTTACATTCGCAAGATTTAATTCGCAGATATTATTTAGTTCGAGTAGGTAGATAAAGAGCCTGATGATTCATATCTTGTCTCTTTAACTTATTAAAAACTTTTTACAATTAAAAAATTTAAATATAAATACTTATTAAAAACCGGATTATTTAACATTTGTTTTTGTGTTGTTTTGTAGCTATAATATTGGCAGAGAGATCCGCGCGCGTCATGATTAGCGATAAGGTTACAATTGATATATTTTTTCAGGGATCGACATCGTGCGAGCATTACCGGCTTAAAGAAGAACGATTTATAACGATCTTTATCGACCGCTATCGGCTTGTGCCCGATTTCCTCGCAAATTATTATCAAATCACTAATTTATCAGACATTGAAAAAGGATTAATAGCTTTAATGTGAAGGTCGAGTCGCTTTTTACAATGGTACTTTGTGCACTGCTCAATCTTATATTCGAATACGATAAAAATCGTATAGCTCGCAAGTAGGATTTGGGAATTTCCACTTTTGCAAATAAAAAAAAAAAACACACACTTGTCTTATTTGTTTTTCATCAATAGTATTTCATATGTACATTGTTTTAATTAGGAAATCATGTTTTCTTACTTTTAAGCATAAAGAAGAAATATGAAGAGATTGAGATAGAAAGAGAGAGAGAGAGAGAGACAGAGAGGTTGAAAAAAAATTTTATGTAAACTGCAATTAGAGTTATTTGTTTTTCTTGCAAGAATAGAAAAATCAAAACTTTTGTATTATATAAAAATAATATTGAAAATAATTGAAAATTGTATTATGCATTGCTTAAATAGTTTATTTTATATACACCATTGTTTTTTCTGCATTATTCTTTCAAAAACGTTTATTTAAGTAAAATTTTTTATCATAAAGCAACAGAATTCAACTTGTACAACGTTTCGCAAGAATGATAAATAGCATGAGTTTTATCAATTATTGGATTAATTGCTTGTATCGTTTTTTAGCTTGACAATTTTAATGATATGACTCAATTAATTATACACGCATCAGTATTTCGTCTTTGATCGATAAGCCAATCGATAAATATAATTTATGCTTTTGTTAGCAATGATGCAATTTGTAATTTAAAATTGTTTATATCATAGTACATTATTTAACACATTTTTCTATTTCTTTTTTATTATCCTGACATAAAATTCTTTTGAAATCTTTTTCTTCTTCAAACTATTGAAAAAGACATAATTAATAACATAATTAAAAACATTATTTTTTAAAATAATGTGCAAATTTGTGAAGGCTCTTGTAGTATTAAAGTATTAACAACAAGATATAATAATATGGACAAACAAGAGCCGAGAGTTAGATAAAATTGATTAATTGTTTTATTGTAACCAAGTTATCACGCACACGCAGAATTTTTTATATTCTTATTATATTTTCATCTCATTTAATATGTTTTTTAAACACACATTCTTAAAAATATAATTAAATTCGTGAATTAATATATGTTAAGATCCAACAATAATAATAACAATGAAATATTTTCATTGCGCGAAATGTGTTATTTATTTTCTGCATTCTGTAAGATAATTATCAAGATCTGCAACGATTCTCTCATCGATACTGACACGCGAACAAAATCAACATCATCATATTTGTAATAGCCGTCGTAATTAATCAAATTTATTGTATCAATCCACTCACCGGCCAAATCAGCGGGCAGTCTGGGATATAACATGCCGGTTCGAGCAAACCACTCAAGCTGAAGTGGATGGATGTGATGCTGCTGAGGATGAGGTCCTCCGGTTGGGGGATGACCGACTGGCTGACCCTCCTTGTGTATCGAATGGAAGGCGCTGCCGCTGGCCGGATGATAATACAGTCCTCCAGGATGAATGAGTGGTCCCGCGGGATGCAGTAAAAGGCCCTGATTCTGCCTAACCACCGCCGCTCCTACGCCGTAGGGCCCGGACGCGAGACTCTGATGACTCAGGATTCCATTGCTGGATGGGTCCTCCGAGCCGGGCGATATGGGTGGACTGGAAGCAGGACTGCGACTCGCGTTGCTTCCAGGACTGGCGCTTCCGGTCCGCGTCGGGTCCACGTCGACCGACGTGTCATCCTCGACGTTTTCCAACCGATCGTTTCGATAACCGCTGGTCCCTGTTTCAGGTCTGAACGGACCTCTTTGAACAGACACGGATTCGCCGGAATGAAGACCGAGTACAGTGTCGCGATTAACGGAATGTCTCTCTCGAGTCTCCAAACTAGGCGACTCGGACTCGTGATGTTGAACAAACGGATGTAGGGGATTTCCCAGAGTTCTTTGATCTCCGGAACATCTTATAGCACTCGGGGATTCCCGTTCTTGAATGCTGCTTAGATTCAGACTGTCAGATTGAACGCTATGACTTCTGGAAAAGGATTTCTGTCGATCAACAGATGACTGATCGATGTCATTTTGTTTCGTGGCGCGACCGAGAAGCGCGTCGATGCAAAATGATGTCTTGCCAATAGAGTTGTTGTGTTGATTAGGCGAACTGATGATGTAGTTCTGTGGTGAGGACGTTCGTCCAGGTGAAGTTTCCGACTCGCGACAACGACTCGTCGCTATTTCGTCACTGAAACACTTTCTGGAAGAATTTTCCGGATCGTGGAAGAAACTAGCCTCTTTGGGAAAACGTTTGCTTCCGGTATCCTCGTGATATCGGATCACTCTGTCTTCCACGTCTGGCGATCTAGCACCCACAAAACGCACTTCGTCGAGCGATCTCACTCTGCTGTCCAGCGGCGACCTGGCGTCTTCTGATCTAGGAGAGGATCCGGGATCCTGGAGTCTCTGTTGAAGATTGTAAAGGTGTCGCGGATGCTGATGCAGATCTTCTGATACCATCTGTGTGTTGTAATGCATAGCTGCCATGTTCTGTGACCACTATCGATTTTTAACACATATTTTTTCGGTAAAATATCTTAGTCTCAACACTATAACTAAAACCTACTAATTTAATCTACGTGTTTTCTAGTGTCTATTTGATTGGTATGGTAAGTTTTGTGTTACTAAAATAAAAACTAAATACTGTTCATAAAGCTCAATAATGCTGGATCGAGTAACGTGTCAATATGATTCCTAAGGTCAAAACACTGACTCAAAATAGTTCTAATTAAATAAAAGAAAGTGAAGTTTTTCGTTTGCTTAACAATTGCGAATTCGTAAACCTGAACGATTACAGATGATTTTGACGACGATATACTGCATAAATTTCAGGAATGCTTTGCACAGTTTTAATAAAGCGATCAAGTGTCATCGGAGCGATCGGAATGACCCGATTCATACACCGATCGCCCGCACTCGGTGATCAATAACTGTTTCTTCGATAACTGATCGATCACGCGAATTATACGGAATATATCACGATCTTCGCACGAAACCGACGACACGAGCGGTCAGCTCGGCGTCGTGTCGCAAAGTGACGTCGCGAGTGACCGCGTGTTCGCCGAAAAAGCTTCCCCCACTAGACAGAATCGCTGCAGCTGGTTCGTCTACGCCCACCGTGGGTCGGGCGTGTCCAAGCTACATCCCACGAGTCCTTTAGCACGAGTAAGACAGAACAAGGCAACCCTATCGAGTACAACGGGGACAGCAATGCCACCCTAGGCGGTGAGCTTCCCCCTCGACCAATCGGAAAACGTGCGAAGGATCGGCGCAAGACAAAGACGTAAAGAGACTCGCCACGTGACCGTGGGAGTCGGAAGGAGAGGCACATAGGCGTGAAGATGCGTCGAGGGTGCGAGCGGATGAACGATTCCACGGCGTTTTCTTGGGGATTCTTGGTGTCCGCGCGGTGGATATCAAGACGACATTGTAATCGATATTATCGCGTCATTAATTTAACCGTGACTCAAGTCCGATGGCTACTCAGCGAGGTTGACTTGTGAAACTGTTCAACCGGAAGACAAGGTGACAAAGTTGTCGAAGAGACATTTCGTCTTCTCTATGAAAGATTATAATCTTCTTAGGGGAGATAATCTATAATATATTACAATCTATAATATATTACAATCTATAATATATTATAATCTATGATATATTACTTATTACAAATAAGTGAGATTTCATTTTTTGGTTTATTGGATTTTTTCTTGAAGGCATCAAATAAAGAGAGATAAAAAATAGAAATTAAAATTCTATATTTACAGAAGCAGATCAGAGAAGTATATATTTATCGAAGACAGATATTTTATGTTTTTGCTATCATTTGCATACACACACAATATAAACTTCGTTTTTGATTGAAAAATATGTTCCAAAAGATTAATTGTCTCTCTTATTCAAGGATTACTGGTGACCTCTTTTTCTATTGCAAGTTGTTTTATTTTATGAATTATATCATCCCATCCGTGACAGTTTTTCTTTCCGTTGTTCATTCTTTGAATAATTTCACGTAAAAAAAGAACAAACACATTTGAAAATATTCTTTCAAAATATATTTATAATGTATATAAGCGAACTATTTCTTATCATGACGCAAACTATTTAATTATAAAACGTATAATTATTTCAAAACTGTGTAATCAGCAGAATATAGACGTGCGTATTAGTAGAAATCCGTTTCAGATGGCATCGCGCAATGAAGTATTGTATCAATAATAACGTGTCGCGTTATCGGGCATCTAATAGTCGCGTAATAGGTATCAACACCGCGCTCTCTCTTGCGAGTGTAATCGTTTTTCTTATCGACTGTTCCTCGTAATCGGCTATATTTGGTTTATCAACGAAGCGACAATGCATCCAATGCTCACACAAATATTTTTTTCGATGTTCAATATAGTTCAATCAGTGACGTGATTGATATATTTTGATACAGGAATGAATAAAATTGATTTTTTTAATAAAAACATCTCTATACATTAATTATGTATATACATACTTATACAGCAAAGAAAACTCTTGGAATGGCAAATAGCTGTTACATTTTTTTTTACACTAAATATAAGTGTTTTTTATATTAAAGATGAAATAATTTTTGAATTTTATGCGCATTTCGAAATACACGTAATAATAATTCCTATTATTATTGAGTGTCTCTAATTCTCTGGCAAACGATCATTAGATGATTCGATGAGATTACGAAAATGTTGTTTAACGAGGCAGGAGGTAACAATAATAATGCGCATGTCGAAGACATTCGCGTTATATTCAATGGCCAAAAAAAAATGATGGATCACCTGATGTGTGTTCGCCCGCTTTGTAGTTCCATCTCGAACACGACGCCTCGAAGGTAAATGTTCCGCTCTTCTCGTTTGACCGTATGTAGCCAAATAAGAGACGAAAGAGTGTTTGTTTAAGAGACAAGGCACGTCCAGCATACTCACGGAATACCTACTCGTTTTCACCCGCTTCTCTCGATACGTTTCTACGTACTTCTATAGTAATGCTATCGCGCGCACCAATGTCGTGGGCGCTGCTCTCTTAGTGAGATATTATCTTAAAGAAGTGAGAGATGACAGGGCTTGTCTCGCACTTCTCTTGAACTTCGAAAAAAAAATTGGAGCTAAGAAGACAATATTTTGTTCAAATTTTTAAGAAAACGAACTCATATAAATCACCGTTGCTAAATCTTGTATTTCAATGATATTGTGAACTGATAAAAAGTGATGAGACAAAAGTGATTATCTATATTTACGTCCTAGCAATTTTATTGTAAATATATTCCATTGTTGTTTGTCTACATGTATAAACAAGAAAACAATTTTCAAAAACTATTGACGCAAATCTACAACGTATTAAAATGTTTATTCACACCCCGTACGTTATTAATCTCACGACATAAATATAGATATATGTACTGGGCAACATATAACAATTTTGTGCGCGAGTTTCAGTATATTTTTATTTATTTATTAATCTGATCTGTTATTATTAATAAATGGATTTTTGATAGAATGATATGCGAAATATTTTAGATAGTGAATTCTTATGTGTGTATATTTGAATATTTATAAATTCTACGCCAGTGGCGCGACATATCAGGATCCATGCAGGTAGTAAACACATATGTATATCGTATTGTGGATCGTTGACACGTACACACAGGTAGCTTTCTGTCGCTCAACTAAGCAAACATCAAACGATTTTTAACCACCGATTATGCTCCGTCACGATAAGTCAGAGAACTTCTCTATTATCCTTTCGTATTGTCATATCTTCATTCGCATTCGAAAAAAAATTCTCGGATCACACAACGAAACCCGTTAAAAACAAATTTTTGAAATTATTTATAAAAAAAACTATAGCCAAAAATTGCATGTTATTTGCAATTATATCGATAGTTTTTTTTATAAAACATATGACAAAAGAGTAAATTTTATGAAAAAAATAACAATAACGCATTTATATTAAATCGATAAATTTAGTTGGTTTCAGCACTGTCTAACTATTGTCTAAAGTAAACTATTTTTTTTGTGTGATAATGTTGATTGGCGAACAACAATGAAATTTCACTTTTGCAATATCACGAATTTGAGAATAATTAGTTTTTTTTTCTTTAACGAGAGTAATTAACAAATTGATAAAATGCTTAAGTCGCACGTCGCGTCTCTTCATACGTAGGATAAGATTGCTGTCTCGATTAGCTATCACAGACCGCTGATAAAGTCCTAATTGATGTCGCATATTCGCTTATCGCAAATTGTCTATATAGACAGATATATAGATATATGTATATATATATATATGTATATATACATATATACATTTATGTAAATAGCATTAATTGAACTTTATCGACAGTCCAGTTCTCATTTATCGGTCTAATTTTAATTTCTCGCTCGCTAACATGTCGCTAAAGTGACGCCACTTGGAGTACTTCATGCTTCGTGTAAAGTTAAACAAACTGTGAAATCGGTAAGATAAAAGGCTCTCCCGCTTAATCTTCCAGCAAAGATAGAATTTTCTATGTATTATCTATCGTTTGTGTAATACGCGATTTTTATTAGCTGACGTATAAAAACTAACATATAGCTTGAAAAATCACTTTGTATTAGTACTTATAATTTTAGGCAAAACATATATATTTAAGATATATATAAGATATTTAAATATCTATTTAAGATATATATATATATACATGTATTAATATGTATTTTTAAGATACGTATGCATCACAACAAACTCAATTTGCTTCTTTATTTGTGTAATAATTTTAATTGTATTCATTTTTTGTACAGAGATATATTGAAAGAAATTTACAAAAAAAATATGAAAACCTTATTACTATAAATTTTTGACAAAATATAGGATAGATTTGTGCTTTATACTTTGTTTTAACAATTACTTGTACTACTTTTAACAAAATACAAAACAAAAAACTACGCTTTAAAATTGCTGAAAATTTATTACAATATTACACCAAACTGAATGATAAGTGTTTTTTTTTTCTATATATTTATTGCAGAATATTTGAAGCTGCTTTGATTTCTTATCGCACTTCATTCCCGATATTGTTTGACGATGCGATGGTAATTATCAATCCATCTGTTGTTGATTAACATATGCATGATAATCTTAGAAAGTACCATATGTGAGTCTCCGAGAGTATACACATATACATATATCTGAATATTATATAAAATTTTTACATATACGTACCTCAAATATAGTTTTATATTCGTTATTTTCCCATAGCACAGTACTATATAACTGGTAATAAAGCAATATATAAATCAATGTGTCACCGATATATCGCCTGAATGGCGATTTTATTGTCGCAAATAGGTTTATGAAATGACTATTTTTATTACTCCGATAAGTAAGTTATCACCGTCATTAACTACATCTTTTCACTTTAGATTAAGAAACAATAATAGCAAATAAAACCGCAATAATCGATTTATAAGTTCTTCAATAAAATAGTCCGCTCGCGATAATCACACATCTATAGATATATTTTATTATCACTTTTATCACAAAGGGATGTTTTAAAAATCGCAAGTACAATTTATGTTTCAATATAGATATATAGATATATTCAATCAAATTATTTTTTCTCGAGTTTACAAAAAGTTTCTTTATAATTCTTATAATTTTTGTGGTTGTTTATTCGCGCTACTTTTTATTGCCTCGTTAAGTAACTATATATCATTATTTATATCATATGTATATATCACACAAAAGTAGTTTATGAACACTTAATGCATTGACTTTTTTTTTTATCGTACTACACTTTTATTGAAACTTACATTAGAATTTTAGAGAAACGATGTAGTTTTTATCGCTCATTTCGCGAGCTATCATTTCAAATGATAGCGGAAATTAATCGTGCGATTTCAATAATCAGTTCGGCGATAAGTTTTTCACGACGTCGTCGAGCTCGGCACAATTACGCGAGTTCCGCTCCGGTGGGTGCAATTATGCCGTTTAACGAATATCATGGCGTCTTTCGCGACTCGAATGGCCCACCCCTCCGACGTTCGACCTCCTCTTTCTTCCCCACTTCCTCGCCTTACGTACTTCACCAGAGAAGTTCTATTCCGTAATTAGAATCTCCCAGCCCCGTAGGAGGCCTCGCGACCGACTTCGCCCCCTCACCGGCCATTACTTTTAATGGCGTTGTTAATGAAACTAGGTGTCGCCAAATTAACCCCTCATTCCAGCTGTGCTCAACCGTAAACGAAAGCGATGTTCGGAAAAACGAACTAATTAAATTTCTTTAATTATGTCGCCGTGTGACTATTGTCGATTATAGACTGCAGTTTTATGAGTCATTTTTGATAGACTTCTGATATCTACTGTGATTTTTATGAGAGAAAGCCTATACCATCTTAAAGTAATATTTCATAAAGTTATCATCAATTAATAGATAACTTTTTAATAATTATATGTATAATAATTTTACATTACTTATACATGTTAAAAAAGTACATTACAAAGTTAATGTAATATTCTAAGTAAATTTTATTCAAAGACAATGTATAATATTCTTCAAAAGTCGTTAAAAACAATAAAACATCATTATACTATTAATTGCATTTTTATAGATTTTTATTTGAAAACTGAACTTGAAGATTATTTTGCGATATATTTATTTATTTATATCTTAAGTTACATTTGTATACTAATAAAGTTTAATTGAAACGTATACATATATAGAGCTATGCCATATTTGATAATGATATTAAAAATATGAATATGTTTTGCAGTGTGAGACAAAAACTTCAGTTATGCGCTTGATCGGAGCTCGAAAGAGAATGCCATTAAAAGGATGACGAGAAAGGGTTTGAAAACCACTGGTCCAGGCTGATTATCGCGGTAACCACCCCCCGAGCGCCAATTAATCTTAACTTTTACGGGGCAAACACTTTTCATTAAGCCCGCCTCTTCCGCCTGCGTCGACGTTCCGTCGTCCCTTCGCCGCATCCCTTCCTCTTTTCTCGCAGTCACCCCCGCAATCCCCCCTCTCTATTTTCCCTCTTCCCTTTTACCCCGCCATCTGCTCATCCTCCTTTGGCTACGGCGAGGAACGGCAAGGAAAATGGCTCCCCAGACAAGCGTTTAATCTGGCTCTAATTAGCAACTTACCCTCCACCAGTGCTATCTTCTTTCTCCCTCTCTTTTCATTCCTATCGTGCATCAGAGTAAAGGTGTACTTCTCGCGCATTCTCTGCGACTAATCCCGCTTCCTTTCTGTTCCTACTGAGAGCAGAAACAAATCTACATATTTCGAATCCCTGAAACGATAAAGGTTAGATAATATTCTTGTTTATTTGTTTTATCTATATAATTTTTTTTCATTTTTATTCTTTAACCAGCTACTTGAGTAGTTTTTTGTTTTGTGTTTTGTATGCGTTGTACTGACAAAGCACATACATTGTTAAAAAAAAACTCATAAATTATAAAAAAACATAAAATGCGAAATATTTCGCATAAAAAAATAAATAATAGTAACATTGTTAAAAATCAAATATTAAATATTTATTGCAAATATGAAATTTGAGAAAAAGACAATTGCAAAGTATCAAAGTTTGATAATTATCTAACTATAAAAAAATATTTTTTAATTTTTTTATAGATTGCTGAAAGAATAAATGTCGATAATGTTATCTTACGTAGAATATACTTATGGGTGAATGGATAAATAGTGTTCATTGTTATGGACAGTCGATAACTAAAAGTAACTTATCGACGTTCGGGGGGAAGTTGAGGTTCAAAAAATAAAAACAAAGCCTTCTTTCACGTAAACTTTTTTCATATTTATTACGAGAAATATTCTTTATATAATTATGTTGAAAAATATAATAAAATTGGAAAAGTTTATAATAAATGAAATAAAACATACTTTTTCATTATATAAAGAAAAGTTTGTTTATAATATATATTTGAACTCATCAAGAAGTTAATGTTATAATAAATTATTGTTACAATACGAGTAAACAGAGTAACAAGATTCTTTCTTAAGCGGCTTAATTGTTCGCACAATTATGCATTAAATATTTCTATGTATTGTATTTTTACCAATCAATATCTCAAATCTTATCGATATAATCGTTATAATCATTGAAATTAATTTCTGATTGAACTTTACCGTTACATTTTGATATACTTATATATAACAATCGTTATATATGTTGCAATATTACAACTTCATAAGACGGACATTATGATTTTTGGCACTTCGAGAGAGTGCCTATTCTTCAAGAACAATCGAGCACAAGAGTCCTTAAAGAAGTGAGTTAAGACTTTGGTAACTGCGCGTTATTCTCGCGAGTTTCTTCTCTCTTCTTCTTTTACTTCAGGAGCTTCAAATAACTCCCGAGCTGTGAAGGAACTGAGATTTCTCTTCTTCTGGATTTAGCTCATAACTTTATCGATCCAGGGTACAAATTTCTGGATATTCGTATATACACCGGGTAAATGTTCGCGACCGCAGCCGATACCCCATGAGACCAAACCGATCAAAACGTGTCTGCCTTCCACCGACATTGTGAGCGGTCCACCCGAATCACCCTGTAAGAGAAATTTATTTTTTTTAAATACTTCTCTGATTTCTATACTTTGACGGTTAAACTATTACTTTCTCGAAATTTTTCTCGATTAACAAATGTTTGTGAAAAAACGTTCTTTGTCATCATCTAATTACCTGACAAGAATCGCGTCCACCTTCTTTGTAACCTGCGCACAGGAATACGTCGTGAATAGTTTCTCTTCTTCCAGCCGCTCTAAACCATTTTTGACATCTGTCGTTTGGTATCACCTGAAATGAAAACGCAACAACGACGATATAATATTCACAATATTAAAAGTATCGTATAGTTAAATTAAATTACATTGAACACACAAGAAATAAATAACTAGACATGATGTATAACAATAATTTAATTATTGTAATAAAATTCTCGTCACAAGGTCTTAATATTATAAAGACGTTTTATTATTGAAGACGAATGTGTCGGTCTAGAATGTGCTCGCCTCAACATCGACTTCTTGAAGAACGGTTGGCGCCGAAGTTTGACCGTGTCTGGTTCGTCCCCAACCCGCGACGGTTGCGGTTCGGCCGGAGAGCTTCAAATTCCTTGCCGGCAGGCAAACCGGGATAATATGCTGCTTGAAAGCTACCGTCTTGGATAGCTTTACCAAAGCCACGTCGTTCCGGAAATCAGTAGGCGAATATTGCGGATGTACCTGTTATTAGTAAGCAATTTTTTTTATTACAATCATAAGAGTTATCTTCTTTCAAAGAGATGTAAAGATAAATATATATTCCTGCATTCTCATTTTCAAAAATATCTTTTGAAACTATACTTTGTGCAATAATGGTTTTCGTTTGTGGCGAAATGTTTTTTCTTTTTTAATATAAATCGCGTTTGTAAATTACTAAAATTTAAATATATCAAAGAATTAAACTTAAAAATTATAGTACCTCTTTTCTCTCGATATTGAATTCTTCGTGAGTCAATCGTTCCGACGCATCTCGAACGTCCCACTCTCCGAGTCGAATTTTCAAATTGTTATTCGGTGTCCTGCACATACGACAAAAATAAAATTATCGATCAGTATTTTTCATCATGTTGACACAATAGCGCGCTTTGTGAACAAAATACTAACGTCGCGACACAATGCGCCGCTGTGACCACCCATCGGTTGTTTAACAAGGCACCGCCGCAGGCCAGTTTCTTGGAAAGGAATCCCGACTTGATAATGGCGGCCTGCAACAAAGTAAACGCGTTCACTTACACCAGTCTATTTACATGTAATATGCATTCAAAGCCGCGTCACGGCTCCGCGACTCGCCTTTGCAGAGATTTAATAGATTATTTCTCCTTCGTTCTCTCTCTAGCGTGCTCTCTAGCTAAGCGAACAAATTGATGGCTCGTTTTCGATAAATAATGCAGATAGAAAGAAAGAGTGCGACACTTAACCGAGCCGAGCGGAAGAGGATATTTACGACAGAGAGAAGAAGAAGAAAAAAAAACTGTGTGCGAGAAAGAATCTCACCTGCCACGGATGGCTACCGAAACTGGACGAGTGTCCGCCCACGATTCTGTTGCTCCTGGTATGAAGCTCGCCGCAGCCTGCAAAGACGAGCAAATTTATTTAACGAGCGCTTATTCCTTTTCATTTTCACACGTTGAAAACCAAACGCAATTGACAGCAATGATATGCGAGCGTTGATAAATGAACAAACCAAGTGATTATATTCAGAGCTGACGCTAATGAGATTTGCGAGTCGCAGATGATAAAAAAGACGAGAAGTGAAAAATCCAAGCTTAATGACGAAACGCTTTATTGATTAACACTTTCTACAATTATTGCAGAAAGCACACCGACGAAGCTATTAGACAAATGTACTTAAGTGCGGTTTTTGCTTGAGATTCGTTCGTGACTTGGCAAGAGACAGAAAGCAGAAAATAGGCACGCGGTGTAGAAAGTTCACGCGACTTCAGAAAATTTTTATTGTAGAGTTTTTTTTTTATTATTATCGCTACGAAGAGATATTTTATTTATATATCACTCAAGATTGATTGCTAGACTTTCTTAGCTTGAATAAAAGCGCTTGCGCGCGATTTCGCACAGGATAAAAGGCAGAAGATATAATGAGACTTATTATATATATCCGTAACATCACAATTACTTGAATTTTTTACGCTTGTTACCTTTGTTATTTGAATTTAAAATGCGCGGTAATAGAAACAAACTGGTTTTTTTAATCGTATACAAGATGATTTATTTTTCCCGAAACACAAATTAGAAATCAGAAACTTTAATCTTTTTTCCAGAATATTTTTTTCTATTTTTTATGTTTATTTTTTATTTTAAGATGCAATAATACAGAGAAGATTGCAATAATTTTTTCTTCTTTGTCGCGTGCGATTGTTTCTACTTGATACTTCTTCTTTCTCCTTTCCTTGCTTTTTTTCTTTACGGATTTTGTTTTCCGCATTTATTTCTCGTATATTCTCTAGCGTTCTCTCAATTTTTCCTTCAAATCCAGTTTCTCGATTGTTTTCCGGCAACGCTTTGTGCGGGAAAATGTGCACTGTGACGGTGAAAGCACACTCATTTTTGTGCGATTTCCGTGCGAAAGATTGCATGCAGGCCTGAACGTTGTCTCGGTCACGAAACTTCAGTCGGTTATACGACCGAATTCGATTTTTCTACTGTAGGTCGAGTTGACCAATGTAAAAAAAAAAACTTTGTATAGCGCATTTGGCAATAAATGCGACGTTGTTTCGTGTTGTTTGTGTGTCTTTCGCGAGAGAGTTGTCCGTGTTGTAAAAAATTTCGTCACAGTTCGTCTGATAATCCGTATATTTCGCACATACAGGTACAGGTTTCTTATCGCATAGCTGTAATCCGTGTCTTTTCACGTCTTAAAAACTCCAACTCTCTCCTCTTTCCGACATGAGATGAGAGTCTGTACGAGAGTACAAAACGAAGTACGAAGTCTAAATCAATTTATATTTTATACGTTGTTGACACATCTCTTCCAATCTAGCACGATTAGATTAGAATCGTGCAAATCTGTCTGTGTGTCTGCGATTATTATCGATCGCAATTATCAATCAATGTGTCGGACATCAAAAGAGAGAGAGAGAGAGAATCGCAAGTACGTCTATAAGAGAAAAACTTCTAAATCTGTCGCAATGATTGCGCGCATGAGCATAAAGAAAAATCCGAAATAAAATTTATAATTGTACACGGATTTTTAAATAGATTCAGGTTTTTTTTCTGAAATAGACTCAATTTTTGCAAAACACAGACTTTGTCAAAAAAACGTTGTTTTTCGTTTATCTACAGTATATCAATCGGAATGTTTTTGAGCTCGCTCGATAAGATATAAATAATTTTCAGTGAATATCGATTCGCGTGCACTCTCAACATAACTCGTGCGATACTTTAAAGTGCAACAATCTCTCAGTATACATTTTCAAACAATTACCACGGTATTCCGCTATTGTGTCGGAAGAGTCATCGATCGGCACGACGGACGGATAACCGTTGTCGTATTGCTGCGAATAGTCCACTTGTGGCGTGTGATACGGACGAGTGGTGTACGTCGTAGGCCGATCGTAGTTGATCACGAGATCGTTTGGCCGATCGTGATCCCATATCGTATAGGACGGATCGTAAAGATTGATCGGCTTGCTGACGCTACCCGCATACGTGGGTCGATGATTGTGCGAGGGCCTACCGGGTCTCATCGCGCTGCCGCCGTAAATGTGCACGTCGTCGTCCACGTACGGCTGTTGATGCCCGAGATTTAGGGAAAACGCTAAGCAACGTAACGATGTCGCTGTTAGCTATTCGAAATCACTCGCGTCGTAGTTTCACGCCGTTAAAAAGTTAATTGAACATATAATACGATATTTGTACTCTTTAGAGAGATTAATAATTGAGAGCGTGGGACAATGCGGAAGAATAAAAAAAAAAAAACAAGTTGTGTGTACTACACACGTGTGTGTAACGTCACAAACACAAACAGGAAGTCAAAGTTAATGTAGCTGTTATTTTGAGAGAGAAGAAAGTTCTTACAAGAGAAAGATCGTTATTGGAAATAAAAACAAAAGACTTGATTGATCTTAATTAAATAAATCAGCTCGCGAAAATTTTCAAAAATACGGGAAAAAGGAGTCGATCCGAGCAAATATCTCGAAAAGTTCTCATTTGATTTTAATTAAATTGGGATTTTAGCTGTTTAAAAATATTTTGATTGTTTATATTCCTATATTCTAACAAATACTTTCTCTTATTTTGAAGAGATCACTAATACTATTTAAAGAAAAGAAAAATATTATATTCTGCCAAAATTAAACAGAAATGCTCACGGACGATTAAAAAAAAAAAAATCGGCAATTGTTTTGTTTAGCATGTTACATTATTTCCACGCGCGTTCCTGATCACGCCATTGTATTGATGGTCAACGCAGTTTTACGGTGAACGACTTGAGAAAGCACGCTCGCGTAAAGTACCGCGGACGTGCAATGTACGCACTATGTTGTCGCAAACTAGGTGTGAATAACTGTATTTGAAAGTGCTGGCCGCGCGCGTACATTGTCGTCGGTGTATGCGCGGATAGCTGGACGCCAGTTCGTTGGTTGTGTAATTTCGGATGTCGCCGGATAGAAATCAGGTTACTTCTCTCTTTCTCGCTTTAGTCGCCATCTCTTTTTCCGATTCGCGATAGAAATCAGACGCGTTCTCTCATATCTTCCTCTCAGCCTGACCGTTCGTCTTTTTGCTTTTTGCAGATTGATATATTACAAATATATTTTCTGTGATATTATAATTATTATCTATTATGTTCTTTTTTTTACGCTTTGTTTTTATCTTGACTATCATATAATTTTAGTCTTTATGCGTATTGAGAATAAGAGATGTTTGAGTAAGAGCTGCAGATAAAAATCAAGATTAGAGATCGTGTTCAATTGAATGGGATTTAAAACCGTTTGTTTAACAAAACTTAAAAAAAAAAAAAAAAAAAAAAAAAAAGAGCAACCAGTTTCCAAACACTTGTCACGCTAAAAGTGCGATACATCCTCGAAAGTCTCGGTTCAGAAACTCGGTTTCGTGACACTTGAGAACGCGGACCTTCTTTCAGGATGTCGTAAATTTGCAACGGCACGGCGACAAATACAAACGCCCTCGACGAGAATTAATTAAAACAAAATAACACACACCGCGCGAATTAAAAATTCTACCTAGTGAGAAAAATATTTGACGTTCTCTCATTGTTTCTTTCTGAGTGCGCGAGATTCGGAAACAAAATAAAAACAAAAACAATGAAAAAATTAACTCGTTGCAACTTTATCTTGTTCTCGCATCTTCTCTGGCAAAGGAAAATTACACTTCAGAAAAAATTACTAACTTTAATGCGTGTCATTATTTTGTTCAGAGAGAACTTACTGGCATTCTGTAGCAAACCGATGGTTGGACGCGGTACTTTTTCAGGTATGTCGTCGTCGTCCACGCAGCAGCTCCATATCAAACCTCCGGAACAAAGGTCGACGGGCCGACCGCCACCCAAAACGCAGCTAATGCTGAGGCCACACTCGAACTTCGCACCTTTGTACTTGCACGATTGCGGTATCACTGAAAAACAGAGATTGTTGAATTCGATGTATAGAAATTCTAATTCTACTGTGTATATATAAATTTGCAACATCTCGAAATAATTCAAAAAAAAAAAAAAAAACGATTGTTTTCCATAAAATGTTTTAACATTTAAGAGAGATATATATATACGAGCACAACAATGTTAAAACATTTTTAAGAGAGATCTACAAAAAAAATACTTTATTTTTATGTTTTTTTCTATGTAGAACATAAAAAACCAAAACGAGAGAAGCTTGTTCGTTTTTGTTTATTGTTCATTCGTTGTCGCGCACAGTTGCAACTTACTCGCTTCGATTAGATAAAATATTTCATACGCGCAAATTGTGATTATCTACAAGCTTCGATTCGCGCACAGACAATCACAAATATAAAATCTAAAACAGATTTTTTGTATTTTTGTTCCACTTTTAATAATTACGAACGTACTTCTGCCCAGCATATCCATAAGACCGCTCTGAAGATTAGAGCTGTGTCCTCGATGATCATTGGTATAGTTTCGCTTCTTCCTGAGCGTTTCAACCAGCAGAACGCCTTGCTGCTGACTCGTGAGTTTTCTCCTTCTGCCCTGGCGATGTGCGCCCGCCTGTTCGTCAAATTCTCCATTTAATCTCTTCCGTCTGACTTCGTTTAAAAATTCCTCAATGTTAACGTCTTCTTCGTTTTCCTCATTCTCCAGATCCTTTTCAAACACATCTTGCACGCTCCATTCCATCTCTTTCGCGTTTTGATCCGAGAAATGATTCTCCGTGTCTGTGGATAAACGCGCTGCGTTCTTTGGACGATCCGCGTTCTCCAATATGGCGTCAGCGGATTCATCACCACTGTACGGAAAATTCGAAATGTATTGATACTGTTCGACTTTGCCTAATGACGGCCTGTTGATTACGTTCTTTAACGTGCTATCGATCGCTCGATTCTCGCGCGTCAGATCCTGCCAAGTTCTGGTGGTTACGGGATCCCAGAAATCTTGCTGCTCGTTCGAATCCTCGATTGTCGCGAATCTTCTCGGTGATGTTTGGAGAACGCCATCCTTGACGATCGTACTCGACAATCTCGATCTATGAGTCGATTGCGCGCCCGATCGCTGCGCTCGATTCTCTTTGATCTTAATCAAAGGTGCGATCGATCGGCTCGCGGCCGCAATCTTGAAGTCATCTCTGAGTTTCCACGAGTGGGTGTCATGGTGATCGAGAGTGCTCGCCACGCTGATCAGAACCACCCAGAGCACGATCTTCATGATCGACTTTCGACTTATGCCTAGTATACCTCAAGTATGAAGCCTCATGAGCGTCATCATCAGATCTCACTTCACACTTGAAATTATTTACACAAACACAAACGTGATTTTTTAAATTAATTTTTTAGTTAACGGCCGACAATTTCTTATGACGTTTGACTAGTTTAAATATTTCACACTTGCAGAAGTATTCAAATAAAACACAATATGTCACTTTCTTTTGCGTTACGAACTTTATATTCTTCTTTCTTTCGTACGAACAACGACTTTTGATGTCTCGATGATAAAAATTTTATTCTCGAAGAAATCTTAGATATCGAATACACTTCGCGCGCTTTGATCACCAATTGGTTCTGGATCATAGATCCTTAATAACAATTTCAAATGTGGAAAGTCCGATATTCATGATCTCTCTCTCTCTCTCTCTCTCTCTTTCTCGAGCTTCTCTCAGTTTCTCCTCATCGACGTCTTCAGTGAGAGGCACAATAATTTAAATGATACTTCCGATCTACTGTAAACTCCGCCATTTTGATGTCACTGATTTTTTTTCGATGTGATCTTGCGCGCCGTGTGTTGTGCGAAGTTGTTGTTTGCAAAGCAAATAATTGACGGAATTGATATCTCGGGAAAGATCTCGGAAGTAAACGAACGACTTGATATGCCGCTCGATTGAGAAATCGGTCGAGGGTCAGAAAAGCGTTTCGTACTTTTTCACTGGGGTGAAAAACTACGGGAGAAGCGCCGTGACAATGCGCGCCTTCCGCACGTGGACTGGCTCGAGCCGATGTCCCACGAGTCTCGATCGGGATCTAAGAAGGCGTCCGCTGCTTTCACCGGCGTTCAGCTTTCCCGAGGCGATGGTGTCGTCTCTTGGTCTCACATTGGTTCCCCACTTTCGTCATCGCCAGAACACATCGCAGTTGTGACTTATTTTCAATTTCTTTCTTCGTAGAATTATTACTTGTCGGAATTGTCGCACGCGCGCGCTGAATAAACTTGTAAAACTTTGAGATTCGGTAAAAAATCCGAAAACTACTTTGTCCCTTTGATAAATTCATCGTTTGATTTTTCGAATTGATATGTTTTGTTATTATTATTTTGCTATTGTGTGTTGTTCGACAATTTCGAAATGAGAGAGACAAACTCTTTGGTCTCTTCATGAGATAATTACCCATTTATGGGTAATTATTTATTTATTTATTATGAGTAATTACCCATATATTTATTCAAATATTGTCATGTAAAAAATAATTATAATATATCAGATTTTATACTAAATATAGAATGAAAGAGAAACAGAGAGAGAGAGAGAGAGAAAGAGAAAAATCAAACACGTCTACAAAATCTGTGTCATAATTAAGAAGAAAAAAGATTATTCACTAAAGATCGGCAATTACGTCACATAAATTTGACATATCGAGACATATTTGCGACCTAATTTTATCGCACAATTTTTATCATAAGTATTTTTATTTAAAAAAATTCTCAAGTAACACAGAAACACGTATAGAGCTTCTCTTATAGAGCGTTAGCTGTGAAAAATCTCATTAGGATTAAATTAATTACTATTAAGGAGCTGCTAAAGAGGCAGAGAGAGAGAGAGAGAGAGAAAGAGAATTCGGTGAAATATCAAGTCTCATCTTCGCTAAAAGGAAAAAATGTCGTTACTATAAAAAAAAAAAAAATAAAAAAACGCTTTTAACGTTCAAAGAAGGAATACGCTGAAGTCATAACGAAACCGGAGCTTTCCGCGCGCTTCATTATAAATATTCTTGTAGAAAGTAAGCGTCAGTAAGTGGCCTTTCAAGTACGATTCCGATTTCGTCTTTCTTGTTAACTCAACTGTAAATCGCACACACACACACACACACAGTGTCTCTTTCGTGCTCTGTTTATATTTGCAATAGAAAATATTACTCGTCATCTCATTGTATCTTGCTATAAAAAATATTAAATAATTGCTGCACCGAATAAAAATTACCGATAGAATAGAGGAGAATATCTTCAAACTTTTTCTATATTTTTCAAATGTATATATTATGTAAATATTTTTATATAAAATTAATACTTTCTTTATACATCACAATTTCTCGCTTTTGAGTAAAACCGTTTCTGCAACTATTTAAACACGTATTTATCAAATATATATGTATATGTACGTATAGATATATATTTTTCATATATTTCTTAAACAGATAACCTTGTCTTTCACTCCAAGCTAATTCGATTATAATTACTAACTGCAGTAATATGATGAAAAAAACCTGGATTTTGCTTAGATAATGGAGATATAGGTCACGTTGCTTTGGTTTCATAAAATATGGATATCCGGTGAACGTCAACCGGTTTGTCAAATAAAAATCTTTCCAACACACATTCATTCCTTTTTATCACGCGACGAGAGATGCAGCGTGTGAATATATTCACGCTTTAATCATTCTTCGTGATTATTTATCACTCGAATATATTTGCCGATTCGCGTGTGTGTTAAGTTGTCACACATACGATCAAGCGTGACCTTGAAGTTGAATCATTAAAAGATTTAAATCGTGTATTTAAATACGAAAATAAAAACACTTTTCGACACGCGGAGTCTCTCTCTCTCTCTCTCTCTCTCTCTCTTTCTCTCTCTGTTCACCTTTCGACTGTTGTTGTTTTTTACGTAGGAGAAATTCATTTGTTATTCAAAGTGCGAGCGCTACCTTTCTCTTTCGAGGCGATTCTTTAAATTCATTTTAACGCCCGCTTGCCCATTACGCTCAATAACGTAATTTGCAAAGATTGTCTCACAGTGGCATACATTTGCAGAGAGTAGCAACAACGTTACTCAACACAATGTAACATCGTACGACAAAAAAAAAAAAAAATGATTACTTACAGCCAAGTTCATCGAAGAATCTTCCCTTTTTGTGCGAATCGATCGTATTCTCGAGATTCTCCTTTTTCTCCGGATGACCTGAAAACATGCGGATTGCTTAAAAACAATATTTTTTTTTTTTTTTGACGATAAATTTAGCGCTCTGATTATACCTAAATTTTTAAGAAATCGATCGTTTCTTCTGTTAGCTAGAGAGCAGATCCAAAGTAGCGAGAAAAGCGCCCCGATTTTGAGAGCAATCATTTCTCTCTGCGGTCATCAAACGATGATCTTGATCTGGCGCCGTATCATTTTGTCGCACCTTTCGCGACACACCACCTTGTGAAATTCGACTCTTCCAACACACTTGGCGCGCCGTTTGTGCGTGTGTGTTTGTGTGTGTGTGTGTGTGCGTCTCTCACCGTCTGTCCTATTAAAAGCGCAAAAAGATCTCAAATGAACAAGGGCGTGTTTTTTTACAAGCTTTTTCACGCGACGCAATTTGTTCGTTACAAGCGGACGAAAAATACAATTTATTTCACACGTTCAATCGCGGGCGTTCCCATGTAATCGGACGACCGTCGAGGAGTTCAAAGGGGGATCCAATAATACGAGTCTCTCGATGGAAAGTGTTAATTGCTAGCCGGAAACCATTTCGTGAAAAGGTTCGTAAAACATGACCGAATTTTCGAGAGACCGTTCGCGCAACATTCGCTTCTTTGTATAATGATTCCGCGCGCGATGTGATTTATTTATTTATTCTAAAAAGTTTGTTGGAGCTATTTTAAACGTGCGTAAAATTTGCTTTTTAATTTTTTTCTCTTCGGAGATAAATAAAAAAGTAGGCTGAATGAAATCCGTACAGCGCAGAAATTGCGCATTGTGATGAAAACATGATTTTTCGAACGACGAGTGCGTCTATAGTGTCAAAAGAGTTAATGACGCTACAATAGCCGAGTTGTGGCTCCTCGCTTATCTCTCTCTGTGGTTTTACCCCGTCGATCTCGGAACTCTCAAAGAACCTTTGTCCACGATACTCGATCGGAGTTCCTTCCAGTATTATCGTGCGCGAGTTCACGCTAGCGTATCCAAGACGTTCGTGTACAGTCCGACGCAAAAGGGGGACACGAAACCAGGCCACTGAGACAAGTGGCACGCCTTTTAGTGCTTCGTAACGTTCGGCCGATCTACATGCGGAACCGGGTGCGCGTCTGATGCATCCCCTTCTCTTCTCCACTTTGGTTATTAGTGAAAGTTAGCCGGTAACTTTCGACTTTGACAGTGATGACAATTTTGTTGTGGAGTAATTCACACACATGCGATCTTCGCGTACTACATTTAAGATCGTGTTGCAAAGAGAAAGAGAGACAAACAACGTTTCTCAAATCGTATATTTTCAAGTAATGATATTTTTAATTAACACAAGAAGCTTAACGAAAACATTTGAATAAAAAAAAGTTTGAATACATTACCACGCTTGTCTGTTTAATATTAATTAAATTCGTCGTCATTAAAATCATTAGTGGTAAGAAAAAACTTGCTTTCTCGTGTGAAACGCGTTTGCGGAACGACGGAATAGGGAGAACTGAAAAAATCGCTTTAGAATGAATTTCAAGTGTTTCATTTAAATGATATGCATCAAATTGAAGACGAAGGAAAAAGTGGAATATCACTTTCGGTCATCACGCAGTGAGTTTATGAGTTAAAACGTTGTATAGGAGCTCGCTATTGTTTTTGAATACTCGACTTTCTTCGCTTCTCCTAGTAAATAAAAAAGCAGCAGCACGCGCACGCACATCTATTACATGTGTGTGTGTGTGTGCATGTATTTATAATTCAAATTATTAAAAAATATTGATCAGGGGCCAACAAAAGTCAAAACACGATTATTATTGTGTTAACATTTTTTTGTTTTCACAAAAGAATGTTTTGCTAACGTCTCGATCACAATATACTCGATCTTTTTCAATGCAAATACATATAAACGCGAAAGATTTGAATCTTGTCGAGATAATCAGGAATATATAAAATCAAAATAAAAAATCCATTTCAAATCCGTCAATGTTTAATAGAATTGTTTAATAGAACAGGTCGGACGTGTTGAGATCCAACTTCATCGAACAAGGCTTATAATATAATATGTTATAATTAATACTTATAAAAGTTCATATTGCATTCTAAAGATCGCTTGTATGCTTAAAAACTATGTTGTAAAAAAAGTTGTTCTAACGAAACACGTTATGTCAATAATTCAAACGCACAGTAGTTTTTGCATACAGTTTATAAATTTCGTGCTTACATATGAATTCGGTCAACGACCGAAGAGCTGCATCAAAATATGTAAGACAACTATGGTTCGCGCGGAAGATCTTTAAACCAATGTCGAGGAACCAAGGGCACTTTCACGAACGAGCGAGCAAGTGTAAACGTCACTGGTCGCGAGTGAAGTTTTTTCATCACACACAGAATCGATCACGTGCTACAGAATCGAATGCACGTGCGGCTGCTCGATCAACAACCTCACCTCACCTGGATTTCTATCAAGATCAAGGCCGACAGAGAGTCTGTGACCCCGTCTGCTGAACACGATCTAACATTCTAAGAGACTGGTGAAAGGGTTCACGCTTTCCCCGCGACTCAATCGATTGTCGTTTATCACACAGCTGCTTGTTGTAGATGCACACCAAATAGTTTCTTTTACTGGCATATAATTTAAGTTAATATAAATATTATCAGGCAGATGATAAGACGCGTAACTGTATCACGTATTTGTAATGTAAAGAAGATTCGTGTAAAAACTTTTGCAAAAATTTATTACTAATATGAAAAATAAAAAATTTAAAAAATCCATTGCAAAAAAGATATTTTGCAATGAGATCTCTTTGAAACAAGGAGATCTCCGTATTTCTTCCTATTGCAGTCGCTTTACTAATTTAAAATATTTATTTCAGTTTGAATTATATGTGCGTATTAATTTAAAACACGTTTAAAAATTATATATCTTGCATATACATCCAACGTTTGACTTTTAAAGTTCTTAAAATTAAATATTTCTGCAAAGATAAAAAAAAAGATTATTTTATTAAAGTACATTTATAACACGGGAAAATTGCTTTTTTAACAAAAATATTATCATACTCTGACGCTTTTACTTTATCCTACCTTTTTTGTATAGAATGTCATTAAATAGATAACGTTACATTTACACACCGACACTATTGCAGATCCGATCACGTCGCAAACGAGCGTTGTTTTTCGGAAATAAATTTATGTAACGAATATATGATTATTATAATATTTTAGAAATTCAATATATATATGTACATATTATTTACGTACATAATAATCACATTTACACCGGCAAGCCAATGAATAGAACATCGCGACCCGCGGTTGACTACTGATGAGAAACAGTAACATCAGCATCCGAGACCACTCTCTTCGGCCTATCCTCACTCTCGCCAGATGGGTGTCTTGATCCAAAGCGTTCCTTTTCCACCTACCCAGTGAAATTATATGTACGATGAGTCTTTTACATCCGTTCCTCTCAGATAAACAGTGTGTTCAACGAGATCATCACTTTCTATCCTGTCGATGTCGCACTTTTTCCTCAATATTTATTTTCTCGTTTGCAGTTTTTAGTTATATTTGCATTTCAATTTCACCTTCACAGGTCCACACAATCTTATTTAAAAAAATCTCATTTCTTTAAATAACGTCTCATATTTATTTAACTTTCTGGTTTTATATTTCTCATATTTCTGGAAAAATACGGCATGTATCCTCACACAAACATTATCGTTCTAATTTGAATTACAAATTCTTATGAAATTGACCTGGATTTTAAGCAAGATGTAATTATGGTAATGTTGTACCACACCGCGCGCCCGCTATTCAATTCGCTATCCGCGAGCTTGATAATCCCGAAACTTTACTTTCACGAAGAGTCACAATCGCGAGACAATCTGTTTTCTTCCGCGCGAGGTTTCACTTCGAAATCTCGTTGTCGCGTGAAAATTTAAACTTTCGATCGGCACGCAATTTTCTGTGAAACTGCTTGCTTACACTGACAATTAGAATCTTGCGAAGATGAAACAAACGAAAAGTGAAAAGGATTTCTTATTTTACAATCTTTCATCCACATTGTGCTTATCTTCTTAGTAAACGTTTGTAGTAAAATCTCCGAATATCTTTAAAAAATAACAAAAAGAGCTCAAATAAAAGATATAAAATCAATATTTAATAAGGTAACACTATATTAATTTTAAATAAGTAAAATTTTAAAAGACGAATTTTTGTCAAAAAATTAAAAGATCTCTTTAATAAACATATACTCTTATATCCCTCCCTGAGGAATTACACTTCTCACTCCAAGGAATGAGATAAAAATTAGATTATTTTTTTCTCAACTTTTAAACAACTTTAAAAAAAATAAAATTTGGTGGACATTTTTCACTGGTAAAAAGAATACTCATTAATGTTGTTTTAATTCTCTCGTTATAAGATGGAACCAGCAATGTCTATATTCAATTTTTTATTAGAATCTTTAACGGTCGGAATGATCATCTAAAAATAAGGTAAAGGTGTCTGAGATAGTCGCCTAATACGAGATAGCAAGCTATTTCATGCAAACGACTACAAATTCATGAAGGAATCAAGCTTTCTGACGTATATTTTTAAATAATCACATTCCGGCTTAATGGTTCTAATAATTATATAGGCGTTGCTGGGGTCATTTCTTTATTACACGAAAGAATTATAAAAATATGAATAATATTTTTACTAATAAAAACTGTTCGTTAAATTCATTTTCTTAACTTGTTCAAAAGATGAGAAATGAAATAAAAACTTAAGTTTTTCATTCTTCTTCTGAAGAGGAATGTAACTTCTCAGGAAAAAATATAAGAATATGTGTTTATATAAAAATACTCTTTAATTTTCAATAAAAAATCATCTTCTACAACTTTTCGCATTTATTATGAATCACACCCTGCACATATAATCTTACACAAATATTTTATAAATTATATATTGTAACAAAAAAATACCGACTATTGTCGTCTTCGACATATTTTGTTTGTTTTTCTCACATTTAAAGTAAGATGGCAGCACACATTCAGTCAATACTCAAAGTAGGTTAATATGGTGGCTAGAGTCACTACAGCTGACTCCTAGTGAGTGTGAAAACAGTAAGAAAATGCATAATAAAATGTATTTGAACACTTAATTTCATTAATTATGTCAAAGTTAAAAAAAGTCTATTTAGTTAAGTATTATATTTTAAACACAAATTTATAACAAGAACATCTTCAAACAATAGTTACTAATTACACTTGCTACTTGGAACTTTGTTGTTATACTCTCGCGTTTTATGAAAGTTGAACTGCACTGTTTTTATAAAAAAAAAAAAAAGTATAAAACAATTCATTATAACATATTGAGAACAATGACTGACTCAGAAAAACTCTTTGTCTGTTCTACATCCAGCTGTAATGTGGTAAGTAAAACTTTTTCCTTTTATACAGAGAAGAGTGTACATAAATTTATGAAAAGAGGTTTAGAAAATATAATGACGTGTAATATATATGTAGCTAGAATCAACAGAGCGTTCATATTTTTTATTTACAGAGTTTTGCAAATGAGGATCAATTAATATTGCATAAAAAGAAACATGATATGATGTTAAACCTCGGCAATAATTCTAAGAGCGCTGGATTTGTTGGTAAGAAATATTTGGCAATATTTATGTATAGATATTATGTATGACAATAGATGTACTAAAATATTAAAAGAAAAAAGGAAAATACTACTAATCAGCGGTAATTTTTAATGCTAAAACAAAAGTTTTTGTGTATCCATAAGTTTGTTATGTTTATTTGTTATGGTCTGTGTACTGTTCAAAAAACTTTTTGTTTTTTTTTTTTTTATTATAAAAGTGATCTGTAAAATTGGCACAGAGAATGGAAATAAGAGAATTGCGTTTTTGATAAATTCAATAGATGGTTTTTAGCTCTTTTAGCTATTTCCTTTTTTTTAATATTGTGTATTAAGAAATCATTATTATTATTATTAAATTATAACGTATTTGCAGCAGATCAAACTCCAACTCCAACAAGATTCTTCAAAAATTGTGAGGAAGTTGGTTTATTTCAGGACTTGCAAAATGTAGTGAATCCTTTTGAAGAGACATTTCGAAGAGCTGTTGAAGAAGGAAATACTGGAACACTTAATGTACCAGAGGTAAAAGAATAAAACCAAAAAGTATTTAACATATATAGGACTTGTAACTTATATATTAAATAATATTCTAATATTATATATACTAAACTTGTATGTATATTAAGAGTGCACACATATTTGTAGTAGTTTAACATTTATAAATACATATTACATACATGTGTGTGTGTGTGTGTACATATATTTGTGTAAATGAAAATTAAACTTAGAAGTGACATAAGTTTACGTCTTGCAGGCTGGGATTACAGATGACACACTACACACTCCTCATATTTTCCCTTACATAGCAGACGTACTGCCAGGAAATAGTCAAATTCTTTCGGAAGATAATGTTGACGATTGTTCTCCCGCCGTGTCTCTTAACGAAAAAAATACAGAAGAGGAAAACGCGCTAAAGTCTGATGAATGTAACAGTATTAAATTAAGTGCAAACGAAACGCAAGAATTAATGAAAAACACAGATCTCGCGACTACAAAAAGCACTCTTGCGCCGAATATCATCGTTTCAGACACGAATACATCTATAGTATCCGAATTGTCACCAACACCTCTGTCACATCTGTGAGAATTGCTTTGTGTCATTTGTACAATTACCGCATATCAATTTTCTGTTACTATTAAATCTAATATATAATTGTTATTTTTAAATGGTAGTAATCTTTACGTATTTTCAAAAAAAAAAAAAAAAATTTTTACTTTTCTGCAAACTCTCAAGTACAAGTCAGATATACCGTTTTTATCTGGAAATATTTTGTAATGTTTTTTTATTTCTAGCAAAAGAATATTTTTGTTCAAGGTCCATTAATGGCGAAGAAGTGCAGCTTTTGCTTAAAACCGCGGATGGTAAATTGATGCAACTATCGGCAACACCAATATCCGAAGAGCCTACCAATGTACTGAACGTTACTACCAAGCAACAAACCGTCGTTATTAAAACCGAACCTTCTTTACGATGCGCGGAGAAACTAGATCCTAAGAAAAGCGTAATCACCAGATTGTCTTTGGCGAAACTGGTAAGCTACATCTAATTGCTGATCTATAGATCGTGTTTCAATTTGTTTCTTAGAGATCGCATTACAGAAATTGAAGCAGACCTTGTCTAAGAATACGGACATACAGAATCGGAAACCGACTGAAGAAAGCGTAAAAACGAACACAGCTGCTGCCCCAAAAGAAAATAATATCAAGAAAACGATCGATCACGTTAAGAAGAAAGATCTTCAAGAACGCAATCGCGCGAGTTCTATGCGCGCAAGAGCCAAGAGAAAGGCATGGATACAGGAACTTGAAAGAACGGTCACCACTGTAAACGAAACGAACGCAGCCTTGCAGATGGAAGTGAAGGCTTTACGCGCGGAAGTGGCAAAATTAAAGACGCTCTTACTGGCTCACAAAGATTGTCCGGTCACAAAAGAGATGCAGAAAGGTTAGGTTTGTTAATTTTACGTTATTTTATCGGCGTTGGTAATTTTTAAGTTTTTACGTTTTTGCATGTGTTTTACTTTCGTCAAGAGACAAGTTGTTTCTAAGGTTCAAATTGTGTAACAACAATTCATTATGAAATAAGTCAATTTACTAACTCGTCTGTTTTGATCATTTTATTATTTGCGATATACGCGCAGAAGAATTTTCTAAACTTGGCTAAGTTTTCTGCAATCTTACTTTTGTAGGAAACGGAATAGTTCTCGGACCTAAAATAATATCGGTCAATAGTCCGGAGGTAGTAACGATATCGGCCAGTAGTCCTGTAAAACGATCGATCTCCAGCGCAGGATCTTCAAATAAAAAGTCAAGAAAAAAACCGACTTTGTCGATCACAAAGAACCCAGTGATATTGCCTAAAGTAGATTGCGCGACAAATCTCACTATTCCGACCACGGCGATCATAAAGGGTTTACCGGCACTAGCGAAGATCGTAGATGTGAATCAGTTTTTGCCGGAGAAACCGGAGGAGACAAAACAGATACTGATCGTGCAAAATCAATCGGCAAAATTGTGCGAGACCGCGCATAGACAGATTATTCAAATAAATCCGAATTATGAAATCGAACAGACGACACCCCCTAAGAGTATAGGAACATAACCAATCGTTTTTGAAATGTTTGTGTGACAACAAATATTGGAGTTTGTGCAATTGGCAAAATCAAAACAAGTTTATATAGTTTATACATCATGCGATATTATTATCGTTGAGAGCACGTACAACATATGTACATATAATTCGTGTGTGTATTTCTTGTATATTTATTAGTTCAAAGTACAAAGAACAGTTCTCTTAATTTTATTTATTAGCCAACGTTCTTGTCGAACAGTAATCATTGTCCGATTATAAGTTTTTATAAGTTAACAATCCATATCAAGAATATATTTTTTTATAAAGACTAGATATATAAAGTGATAGATATGTCAATTATTAATTTTTTTATATTATTCATTTATGTCATTATTTTATTATCTTCATAAGATAAAAGACCATAATAAAACATTTATGATAAGAAGAGACAACGATTTATTCTATCTTCATAAGAACATCCTTTATGCACATTCTTACATACAAAATTCTTTATTACATACAAATAAATACTAAAGCCGACATTGATACTTGAATCTTATATTTATTTTGAGATTAATTTCAGTTTATCTTCAGATGGTTTTTTTTTGTAACTAATAAGGAACAGCATTTTCAGATAAATAGACGATCAAACACAATCGAACTATACAGGAATAAATCTTACAAAGTTCCAAAATCTTACCTTACCGAAAGCTATAGTACACGTGACGTAAAATATAGCATTTTAGTAACCAAGGTAGGACTTTGGAACTACGCCAGGGAGATAGTAAGTTAAAATTTAAAAGAGATATTCCTTATTAGCTTATTGTTTGAAGAAAAGATCCCCATAAACATATGAAAACGCTTTGTCTTCAAAATACAAACGTGACAAAATTGAAAAAAAAAAAAAAAAAAAAAAAAAAAAAAAATAAAATTTTTTTGTTCAAATGCTTTACTTTTTTTTTTTTTTACTGTTGTTTTTACAGTTTTTGTTTTGTTTGTG